AATGAGACACTCTGACTCACAGTAGCAGGACCACTGTGGAGAGAACAGTCATGTAGCAGGTAATGGGACAGTGTTAGAGTCACTATTCAGGAGTGACAGGGTGGTGGGGACTAAGGGAGAGGAGGGTCTGAGGGATGAGAGGGATGGAGGGAAGGGCTGGAGAAGCAGGAGGTGAGGAAAAGGAGCAGAGGGAAGGAATTCAAAAGCAGAATTCTTAATTTTAAACACATTGTTTTATAGATTTTTAATACATCCAACTGCAGAGCCTAGCAGGGTGTTCTTTGCAGTTGGGCTTTAATACCTTATGTAGGTCTGCCTAAAAACTAATTGTTTCTTATGTCAATCAGGTTTAAAAAGTACTAAGTGTTCCTATAAAATAAACGCACCACTGAGATGTGGACTCTCCCTAAAAACAGGCAGTGCATGAGCACTGGTGAGGGGCATTGTGACTGCATTGAACACTTGCGACGGTGAGGTGAATGAAGTCTGTACTGGCTCCTGGTTGCAACATACAGTAACACCGTGTGTACTTTGTACTGAGGAGATGTCCTGGACTCACACAGAAACTCAGGGCTGTGGAGTGAAGGTAAATTTAAAATACAGCAAGCGGGAGTCACAGATACATTGTCTGGGAAGGTGAAACAGGAGCTTTGTGAGTCCTGTTGTAATGCTTTTATTTATTTATTTATTTGTTTATTTTTTCTTGCCTCGTCTCAGATGAGAGATTTTAGACACATTTATATATATCAACGGGCCAAAGTAACACTTTTTACTGATTAGGTTCCTGATCATTTAGGGGTTACCAAGATTCTGCTACCCACTGTAGTTAATAAACAAAAAGCAAAGTGGTCTCTATGCTATCTCATGCTCTCAGGCAAAATTTTTCCAGATTTGAAGAAACAAACAAACAAACAAGCCCTGTCTCTACACCTCCATTCCCAGGGGAGCTCACTCTCTGGCAGCAAGTTTCCTGGGGTGAGTTTTCTTCTAGAAGAGTCCAGGGGGACAGGTAAGGAGCAGGAGGGAGGAAGTCCAGTTCAGGGACGGGGATGCAGGGATGAAAAGTTAAGAGAGAAGGATGAGGCCCATCCCGAGGGTTTCTCTCTGGTTTCTCAGCAGCTCCTGGGCCAAGACTCAGGGAGACATTGAGACACAGCGCTTGGCACAGGAGGAGCAGGGTCAGGGCAAGTCCCAGGGCTCAGGCGTGGCTCTCGGGTTCTGAGGCCTGGAAGGCGGAGGAGAGATTGGGGAGGCGCAGCGTTGGGGATTCCCCATCTCCGCAGCTTCTCTTCCTCTCCCAACCTGTGTCGGGTCCTTCTTCCTGGATACTCACGACGCGGACCCAGTTCCCACTCCCATTGGGTGCCGGGTTTCTAGAGAAGCCAATCAGCGTCGCCGCGGTCCCGGTTCTAAAGTCCCCAGTCACCCACCGGGACTCAGATTTTCCTCAGGCGCCGAGGATGGCGGTCATGTCGCCCCGAACCCTCCTCCTGCTGCTCTCGGGGGCCCTGGCCCTGACCCAGACCTGGGCGGGTGAGTGCGGGGTCGGGAGGGAAACGGCCTCTGCGGGGAGGAGGGAGGGGCCGCCCGGCGGGGACGCAAGAGCCGGGAAGCGGTGCTGGGAGGAGTGTCGGCGGGTCTCAGCCCTCCTCGCCCACAGGCTCCCACTCCATGAGGTATTTCTACACCTCCGTGTCCCGGCCCGGCCGCGGGGAGCCCCGCTTCATCTCCGTGGGCTACGTGGACGACACGCAGTTCGTGCGGTTCGACAGTGACGCCGCGATTCCGAGAGCTGAGCCGCGGGCGCCGTGGATGGAGCAGGAGGGGCCGGAGTATTGGGAGGAGCAGACACGGATCTTCAAGGCCCAGGCACAGGCTGACCGAGTGAACCTGCGGACCCTGCTCGGCTACTACAACCAGAGCGAGGCCAGTGAGTGACTCTGGCCCGGGGCACAGGTCACGACCCCTCCCCATTCCCCACGGACGGCCCGGGTCGCCCTGAGTCTCCGGGTCCAAGATCCACCCCGGGGCTGCGGGACCCGCCCAGACTCTAGACCCGGGAGAAACTCGGGCGCCTTTACCCGGTTTCATTTTCAGTTTGGGCCAAAATCCCCGCGGGTTGGGCGGGGGCGGGGCTCGGTGGGCGGGGCTGACGCGGGGGCGGGGCCAGGGTCTCACACGATCCAGAGGATGTACGGCTGCGACCTGGGGCCTGAGGGGCGCCTCCTCCGGGGTTACCGGCAGGACGCCTACGACGGCAAGGACTACATCGCCCTGAACGAGGACCTGCGCTCCTGGACCGCCGCGGACATGGCGGCTCAGATCACCCAGCGCAAGTTCGAGGCGGCCAGTGTGGCTGAGAGGATGAGACCCTACCTGGAGGGCGAGTGCCTGGAGTGGCTCCACAGACACCTAGAGAACGGGAAGGAGATGCTGCAGCGCGCGGGTACGAGGGCCCGGGGGCACCTCCCTGATCACCTGTAAACCTCCCAGGCTGGCCTTGTAGAAGGAGGGGAGGAAAATGGGACCAACACTAGAATATCACCCGCCCTCCGATCCTGAGGGAGAGGAATCCTCCTGGGTTTCCAGATCCTGTACCAGACAGTGAGTCTGAGGGCCCGCCCTGTTCTCTGATACAATTAAGGGTTACAGTCTTTGAGGTAAAGGAGGGGAAGTCAATCTCTGGAATACTGATCAGGGGTTCCCTGTGACCCCACAGCAACATTGGGCACAAGGATTTTTCCTCTCCTGCCTTGTCCTTTGCCTCACACTCAATGTGTGCGGGGGTCTGACTCCAGCTCCTCTGAGTCTCTTGGCCTCCACTCAGATCAGAACCAGAAGTCCCTGTACCCCACTCAGAGACTAGAACTTTCCAAGAAACAGGACATTATCCCAGGTGCCTGTGTCCAGGCTGGTGTCTGGGTTCTGTGCTCCCTTCCCCACCCCAGGTGTCCTGTCCATTCTCGGGATGGTCACATGAGTGCTGCAGCGGTGTCCCATGAGAGACGCAAGATGTCTGAATTTTCTGACTCTTCCCTTCAGAGTCCCCCAAGACACACGTGACCCACCACCCCATCTCTGACCATGAGGCCACTCTGAGGTGCTGGGCCCTGGGCTTCTACCCTGCGGAGATCACACTGACCTGGCAGCGGGATGGGGAGGACCAGACCCAGGACATGGAGCTCGTGGAAACCAGGCCTGCAGGGGATGGAAACTTCCAGAAGTGGGCGGCTGTGGTGGTGCTTTCTGGAGAGGAGCCGAGATACACATGCCATGTGCAGCATGAGGGGCTGCCTGAGCCCCTCACCCTGAGATGGGGTAAGGAGGGGATGGGGGTGTCATGTCTCTTAGGGAAAGCAGGAGCCCCTCTGGAGACCTTTAGCTGGGTTGGGGCAGGGGGCTGGGACCTGGGATCAGGGCCCCTCACCTTCCCCTCCTTTCCCAGAGCCATCTTCCCAGCCCACCATCCCTATTGTGGGCATCATTGCTGGCCTGGCTGTCCTTGGAGCTGTAGTCACTGGAACTGTGGTCGCTGCTGTGATGTGGAGGAGGTAGAGCTCAGGTGAGGAAGGGGTGAGGAGTGGGGTCTGAGATTTCTTGTCCCACTGAGGGTTCCAAGCCCCAGGTAGAAGTGTGCCCTGCCTGGTTACTGGGAAGCATCATCCACACTCATGAGCCGACCCAGCCTCGGCCCTGTGTGCCAGCGCTTACTCTTGTGTAAAGCACCTGTGACAATGAAGGACAGATGTATCACCTTGATGATTGTGGTGATGTCAACCTGATCCCAGCAGTCACAGGTCACAAGGGAACGTCCCTGCTGGGGACAATCCTTAGGGGCCAGTTCGTCCAGGGCCCACACCCGCTCTCCTTGTTTTTCCTGATCCTTCCCTGAGTCTTTAGTCATACATTTTGGGGTACAAGGCTAGGAGGTTTCTGTAGGACCTCATGGCCTTGCCACCTTTCTGAGCCTTCACAGAATATTTTCTTCCCACAGATAAAAAAGGAGGAAGCTACTCTCAGGCTGCAAGTAAGTGGGAAGGAGACTGATCATTGGAATATTGTGGTCGGGAGCTCGTGGGGGAGCTCACCCAGTCTGCAATTCCTCCTCTAGTGGTATTTCCTATAGGCTCTGACCAGGTTCTGTTTTTGTTTAACCCCAGGCAGCGACAGTGCCCAGGGCTCTGATGCGTCTCTCACAGCTTGTAAAGGTGAGATCCTGGGAGGGGAGAGGGCTTATGTATGTGGGTTTTTGGGGGAAACAGTGGGAACAGTTGTGTTATGGGGTTTCTTTGACTTGGATGTTTTGAGCTGGTGATGAGTTGTTTAAAGTGTGACTGATATAAATTTGTTAATGAATTTTTTTTTTTTATAGTGTGAGACAGGTCCCTTGTGTGGGACTGAGAGTCATGATTTATCCACACGTTCTGTTTGTACCTTCAAGAACCCTGATTTCTCTTACTGCAAAGGCATCTGAATGTGTCTGTGTCCCTGTAGGCATAGTGTGAGGAGGTGGGGAGACCAGCCCAGCCCCGTGTCCACCATGACCCCCTTCCCCACGCTGACCTGCATTCCTTCCCTGGTCACCTTTCCTGTTCCAGAGACCTGGGGCTGGGATGTCTCCATCTCTGTCTCAACTTCATGGTGCAGTGAGCTGTAACTTCTTAACTTTCCTATTAAAATTAGAATCTGAATGTAATTTACTTCTTGAAATTATTTCCATGAGACATTGATGGGTTAATTAAAGGAAAAGATTCCTGAAATTTGAGAGACAAAATAAATGGAAGACCTGAGAACCTTCTACAGTCCACGTGTTTCTTGTGCTGATTTGTTGCAGGGGTGGAGAGTAGATGGGGCCGTGCCCAGTGGGTGTGCAGGCCACTGTGGGCTTTATGAGGTCACGGCTCGGCTGGGTCATCTTTGCTGCTCCATTGTCTTTGGCCCTTCAGTAGAAGCTAGTCCCACCACGGCCAGTGATCACAGGGACTTGAGTGTCACCTAGGGTGGTCTCTACACATAGAAGTCCTTGTGGTATCAGGAGAGAAATTTTCAGACCCCTGTCCATCTCGCCCTCTTCCCAGGTCTCTTTCCTGGATTGTATTTTCCATATTTTCCCCAAGCTTTTTAAACGAAGCAGATTCTGATACTTGCAGAGAGGAGGAGTCCCATAGTTTCTCATCATAGGTAACTTTCTGTTGGAACTCCTTCTGCTCTCTCTCCTCCTTTTTCCTGCCTGAGTCGTAGTAATCCTAGTGCTGCCTCCAATCCAAACTCACGGATTTATAAAGCAGAGTCTAACTTAGATTCATATGTGGTTGGGAAATTGGAGCCATAAGCCCAGGGTTTTCTTTCCTGAAAAGAAAAATATGGCTGTGTGCTGCAGCGTGCAGGAGGGTTGGTGTGGGAGGAGGGAGGGAGGGCACACACGCAGCCCTGGTGAGAAAAGCTCTGGCAGCACTGATGTCAGTGTGAGATGATGTTGCTCTGTAGCTGCCACAAAACAGCATTTGGCCTGAGGCTACATTAATAAAGATATTCTCTTTAGAATAGGGAGGTGCCCTACAGTGATCATTCAACTGACATTTGTTGTTTGCTATGTATATGCCTACTTTTGCATTTAGAAAACATTTTAGTAAAAACAAGGATTTTCAGCCTTGTGGTGTATGCATTTTAAATGTAAGCTTATCCAACCTGTGGCTGCATGTGGCCCAGGACAGCTTCCAATATGAGGACATTTTTGCTTATCTGTGGTGGCAAATATCATGAAAATTATGCACATATTTTTTTTCTTGTTTCTTTTTCTGCTCATCAGCTGTCGTTAGTGTATTCTATGTGTGGCTTAAGACAATTCTTCTTCCCATGTGGCCCAGGGAAGCCAAAAGATTGGATACCTCTGTAGGCAGATGATAGATACAGTATAAGCAGAGTAAGAACAAAAAATGCTTGAATTAGAAGGTGGCAAGTGCTGTGGGGCAGGGGATCCAGAGTGTGGGCTGTGGGGACAGGGGGATGGCTGCTGTGCTGGGTGGTCAGCATGGGCCTCATTGCAAATGTGACCTTTGAGTGAAGATTTGAGGGATGTGAGGAGCTGTCCACAAGGATGACGGGGAAAGCTCTTTTCAGGCAGGAACCTTCAGTGCAGATGCACTAGGGCAGGAAAGTGTCTGTGTTCCTGGAAGGAGGAAGAGGCCAGCAGGGCTGGACAGAGAGAAACTGAAATGAGGTCAGAGGTGTGGCCAGAGCAGGGAGGCCTGGAGGGGGTGGGAATGGTTTTCACGTTTGCTATGAATGACATGGGGAGTTAGAGGACACTTTTGAAAAGTGGGACATGGTGGGACTTATACTTTGAAAGCTTCTCTCTGGCTGCTTTGCTGAGAGCAGAATTGAGAGGTGGGGGACAAGTGAGACAGTAGGGAAATGGTGCGGAAGGACCGCAGTATTCCAGGATGGAGACGCTGGTTACCTTGACTGGAGCGTGAGCAGAGAAAATGGTGGGAAGTGATGGGATTCCGGATGAATTTGAAGATGGACTTCACAGCACTTGCTAATGGATTGTATCTGTGGTGTGAGAAAGAAGAATCAAGGACACTCACGGTGTTGGACTGAGTGAGTAGAAGGGTGGAGCTGCTGTCCGTGGAGACGGGGAGACTCTGGCAGGAGCATACGGAAGAGAGGGCATCGCAGGCATTCAGTGGAGGAGACATCTACGAGGAGTGCAGGTGAGGGCCCCGGATGCCTCTGCAGCTACAGCTTCACCACCCAGTTACTCTCCTGCTTCCACCCCCTGTGTCTCAGAGCCAGGGCACTGATTCTCCCCTGGGCTGTCTGCACAGGTAGGTGGAAGTCAGGGAAGCTATGGTCTCCTGTTGGGTATAATAAGCCATGGATTATTGTGCTTTTGAGATAATTAAAGAAACAATAAGAGAAGTTGTAACTAGAACAGTTATTTAGAAGACCACAATAATGCAAAGTTTTTTATTCATCTAAGGAAGGCAACAGAAGAAAACCAGTTGAGTGAAAAACAGATAATATTAGAAGGCAGCAAATGACAATGTACAGACTTTAACCCAATGAGGCCAACAATGACATTAAACATAATGGACTCACGCATTCCAATGACAAGACAAATAGTGCAGAGGGGGAAAAATAAGTCAATCCATAAATAACCATAGACTATTTACAAAAGTCATAAATTTCAGCAGAAGGTACAGAAAAGTTGAAAGTAAAAGGATAGGAAAGAAATACCAGACACACGTTCATGAGAAACCAAATGGAGATGCCATTTAGAAAAATTACAGGACGTGGATCTCATGAGACACAGAGTCCATGTAGACAGCTCAC